TTGGGACCCTTTTCCTCCTGTTGGGTTGCCTCATCCAACCTTGATATGAGGGTTTGTGCCTGGTCTTACTGTAATTTGTTATGTCGTGTTCAGTTGATATCCCTGGGATGCCTGCGAGCTCTTTCTCTCTCTCTCTCTCTCTCTCTCTCTCTCTCTCTCTCTCTCTCTCTCTCTCTGGAAATTAAGGAGTGAATCTAGGGGAGAGGAAAGGTGGGGAGGGCTACTGGGAGGAGTGGAAGTAGGCAAAACTGTGGTCAGGATGTAATGTATATAAAGAATTTAAAAAAAAAAAGAAAATATCTTGTCTGCTGCTACGCGGTTTCACTGTGGCTTCTGGTTAGGATGATGTCAAGCATCTCTCAGTGGCCCAGCTTTTTAACAGGATTGTATTGGCAGAAGCATTCCTTTTCTTTCCTTGCTGTAGTCGGAACATTCTAGATGGCATTTGCTGGGATGCTTGCTACCTGTGACTCTGCTTTTCACACCCCTAAAAGGAGCCCTGGAACTTCCTGGGTCACCTGCTGACTGACTTCAGGCTTGCTTATGAAAATAAGCAGCAAGCAGAGTTGGTGAGGTTTCTGCTCACATGTGGTGCTGGAAGTTTCCAAAGCCAGTCCACTCCAGGGCTTGAGTGACGGGTAATAATTGGTGGGGAGCCTTCTGGGGTTGGCTACGAGTTTGCTTAAAATAAGCACTTTGGCCCAGGTAACCAAGGCAAGCCTGCTGCCAGGAATGGTCAGGTGGCGTGCTCTGTGAAGGTCTCGAATGTGTTTGCATGCCTCGGAAGACTAGTGGAGAAGCACTTGCCCCCAACCCCTTCTCCCTGAGTGGCCTTGCTGCCTGCAGCCCCTGCTGTGGTCAACTTGAGTTTCACATTCAACTTTCGGCCACTTCTCCTTTTCAGGTGCCTACAAGTAATATTACAAAAGCCAGACACCTTTCATCACCAAGGCAACCGAGTTTACCACGTGACTGTCAGGGAAGAAAAATACAAATAATCCTCTCAACCTCTTGACAAATATGCAAAGTATTCCAGGCCAGGCCCTGCCCTGGAACAGTGTACTGGAAAGATAGGAGGCTTGCTGGGAGAATCGAGTTAAAAGCCGGGCTCTCCCAGCTGGGGCTGTTTCTCCCTGAACACTCCTTCACATCCGTGGCTTCAAGATCGTGAAGGGTTTCTCTTGGCCAGTCCCAGCTGGCATCTCCCATCATTTTGCTGGGTCGTGGCTGGGATTGTTGATGCAGTAAGTTCTTCCTGGCAGTTCTGTGTGTGGGAACTTCAGTGGTCCTCTCACAGGTTGTGAGAGGTGGCAGGCTACGCTGGCGTTCCCACCCACCCCCCCTTTTTATTTTGGGATATTGGAGTTGAAAGTGTGTGAACTGGGTTGTAGCTGTGCAGTAGAGCGGTTGCCTGCCACCTCTGAAGCCTTGCAATTTGATCCCTAGCACCCCACCACACACATACAAACTCACTCATGTGCGCACACACACACACACACACACACACACACACACACACACACACACACACACACAGAGGGTAAAAAGTGTCTTAGACTCTCCTCAGAAAGAATTTGAAAATGAATCAGGAGTATCAGCTTAAATAGTGCTTCTTGGTCAGGAGAAGGAAGAGGAGCTCAGAACATGGAGAATCCTTGCTACGCTTTGCAGCCACGTTGGAATTGTAGCAGTTTCTCTAAGCTTCGTTTCCCTCACCTGTAAAGTGACTGCATTATCCACTCCATGCCATTCTGTGAGGCTCAAATGCCCACGATGCAGGGCACGCTGCAAGTGCACTTGGAGGGTTAGGGTTCTACATGCCTGTGTACAGAGTGAGCCAAATGGCAGGGGAGAGGTTGGCCTTTGCTGAGCTGCAGTTGAAGGTGAGGGAGGAAGTCATACTCATTTGGACAAAACCATCATTTCCTTAAAGTCCAGGCCCTGGGCTTTTAAGTAGGTCACTGAAAGAAAAAAAAAAAAAGTTCTCCATTTGTGAGATGGCCTGTGGGTGTCTCTCTGGAGTTGTCCTGTAATGCACCTGCAATGACCTGAGCTCCCAGTTCTCCAGAGATCAGGTTTCCAGATGGAAAAAAAAATGCCAAGGAAATTCCCCTTTCTGAAGTTTGCGGTCAGAATAGGTCTGGTACCCCAGCGTTTGCCATATCTTGAAGTAGCTTGCAAAGGGCCATGTAAAATACTTGAATGATGTTTGAAATATTCTTTTCTGATAGCTAAGTCAGACATGAATGCTTTCTGGTCAGTTCTTCATTATTTCAAATTGTGACAAAATGCAAAATTTAGCTTTTTATTTCTTATGAACCTGGGGATTGAATCCAAGGCATCTTATAATGCTAGGCATGTGTTCCACCATTGACCTACATTCCCAGCCTAAAATTTACCCTTTTAACCAGCTCAAGTGTGCAGTTGTGTATCCTTTCACATTGTGTAACCGGCACCACCGTCTGTCTCCATAATCTTTTCGTTTTTTCCAGTTTGGACTAGAGTTTAGTACCCTTCAGGCATGCCTTCCCTGTTCTGCCCATCCCCCAGTCCCCTCAGCCCCGTTCCACTTTCTATCTCAATGAATTTGACAGCTCTGGGTACCTCATGTTAGTGGAATCATAATACAACATTTGTCACTTGTAGCTTTTTTTATCCTTTTTTTCTTCTTGAAACCGAATTTTATATGTTCCCTTTCTCCCTGCCAGGCTTTGTTCCTTTCTATAAGCTTAAAAGAATTTTTTTTAAATTTTATGTGTATTGGTGTTTTGCCTGAATGTATGTCTGTGCACCATATGTGTGTGATTCCTGTGGAGGAAGAAGAGGGTGTTGGATCTCCTGGAATTGGAGTTACAGATGGTTATGAGCCGCCATATGGGTGCTGGGAATTGAACCAGGATCTTCTGGAAGAGCAGCCGGTACTCTTAACTATGGAGCCATCTGATATTTATATATAAATTTGTATAATAACTGTCCCTATGAAGGAAAATACGACATTGGAACTAATTTGATAGAACTCTTCTCTTTATTTTGAGGTGGGGTCTTGCTTTTTTCAGGAAGATTTGAGTGTTATTCTTTTTCTTATTGAAAATAATTTTTTCATACAATATATTCTGATCACAGTTTCCCCTCCCCCAACTTCATTCAGATTGCTACAAGACCAGATCTTTCCACTCATCCAACTCCATGCTTCTTTCTTTAGAAAAACAGGCAAATAAAACAAACATACCAGAATTTTTGTTTTGTTTTTCGAGGCAGGGTCTCTCCATAATTCTAGCTGTCCTGGAACTCAGAAATGCACTTGCCTCTGCCTCCCAAATGCTTGGACTAAAAGAATGTACTGCCATCGCCTGGCTTAACATACCAGAATTTAAAGAAAAGAAAAAGAAATTACAGAAAGCAAAACCCATAAAAACACAAAATCAGAAATCATAATATGCAAGTAAAAGATCAGTAAGGTTAAAAATATCCAAACAAAGCAATATGAGACAACAAGTCCACAAATACACTGTTGAGTTCCTTTGTTGGCCATTTACTGTTGGGCACGGGATCTGCCCTTAGGTGTGGTTTGTACACCGAGGAAGACTCTGTTGGAGAAAATTAGTTTCTGTTTGCAAGTGGTTGTCAGTTGGAGATAGTGTTATGATACTGCATGTGTGGGACCTCGGCTGGCCAGGGTATCCCACGTGTGAGGGAAAACATGCCGGGCAGATGTAGCAGCAGGCGGTGGCACATCATTTACAACCTAGGCACTGCATCCGTGAGGAAATGAGTTTGCTATAATAGAGAGAAGAAGAGAAAGATAAGGAAAGCGGGAGACAGAAGGGAGAGAGAGAGGAGACGGTAGAGGGTACACACCTCATGGGAATAGAGAGAGCGGAAGAGAGAGAAGAGGGGAGAGGTTTGCCTTTTACGTCAGGATACCGGGCAGCCCCAAGGGCCAGGTCAGAATATTAACGTTGGTTTCTAAGGGGCAGGTCAGAATACTAACAGATAGCTTTTGAGTTAGGGATGCTGGGACCCCATCTGACTTAGACCAACTGTGGTGGTCCTGTGCATGCTGCCACTGTCTCTGTGAATTCATATGTGCATAGATCCTGTTGTGTCTGGAAGACACTGTTTCCTTGGTGTCCTCTGTTCCCTCTGGCTCTTACAATCTTTCCACTTTCTCTTCCACAGCATTCTCTGAGCCCTGGGGAGAGGGATTTGATAGAGATATCCCACTTAAGGTTGAATGTTCTAAGATCTCTCACTGTCCGCATATTGTCTAGTTGTGGGTCTCTGTTAGTTCCTGTCTTCTTGTTTTTCTGAGATAGGGTCTCATTATGTAGCCCTGGCTGTCCTGGAACTGGATATGTAGACAGGGCTAGTCTCAAACTCATAGAGATCTGTCCTTGGCCCCACGGGTGCTGGGATTAAAGGCGTGCACTATCACACCTGACTAAGGTAGGGTCTTTTCTACACTCGCCTCAAAGTTGTAGTCCATTCCCATTCCCCTAATATCTGGGGCATAGGCCTGCATCACTGTGCCAAGTTCTTTTATTTTTCAGAAAGAACTCTTCATTGGATCATTATTCTAGATGATTATAAGGGTTGAGGATAGAGCTCAGTGGTGTAGAGTACTTGTGTGTTCAAAGCCCTAGGTCCAATCCCTAGTAAGATGCATCGGACTGCTCTTGTCTAGCATATAGACAAAAAAACAAAACAAAACAAAGCCCTCAAAGATAAAAGTGCCGGGCCAGGGATATAGCTTGAGGGCAAAACACGTGCCTGTTCTGCTTGGCGCCATTGTTCGATCCCTTGTCCTACAAAAATGAATGGGTAAATAAAAGCCAAGTTCTGTATTATCTCACACCTGCTTACTCCTCCTCACTGAGACAGTGTCAAAGAGCATTTGTCTGAGAGGTTAGAGCAGCAGAGAGGACAATTCACTGATGCATCAGGAGCCCCGTTGGAGCTGCTTCCATCCAGAGGTAACCTCTCGTCCTTTCTTCCTTCAGATGGTACACCTTGAAGTCCAAGCCAGGAAAGAAGGACAAAGAGCGAGGGGAAATTGAGGTCGATATCCAGTTTATGAGAAACAACATGACTGCCAGCATGTTTGACCTCTCCATGAAAGATAAGTCTCGGAGTCCATTCGGAAAACTGAAGGACAAGATCAAAGGGAAGAATAAGGATAGTGCATCGGACACCGCGTCTGCCATCGTCCCCAGCACGACACCCTCGGTCGACAGCGATGATGAGTCTTCTTCCTCAAAAGACAAGAAAAAGAAATCAAAGATTAAGACTTTGTTTTCCAAGTCGAATTTGCAGAAGACGCCGCTCTCCCAATCCATGTCCGTCCTGCCTACTTCAAAGCAGGACAGAGTGCTGCTGCGTCCTGGAGACTTCCCGTCCCGGTGGGACGGTGATGACAATGAGGACGAGTCCTCCTCCACCTCAGATGGTGAGTTTCTGTCTTTGCTCACTCACCTGCTTTCCCAGTCTCCCTGACTTTAAGGAGGAAGAGGCGGATCTACAGGTTTTAGTTACCACAGTCATGACGGTGATGAAGTTCACTAGGGCTTTGTCTAAGAGAATGTAAACATCTTCTCCAAGGGTTTGGAGCTCACCGAATAAGTGCATTTGAGTTTGTGTTTGTTTGGTTGGGTTTTTTGCTGCTTTTTGTTTTCTCACAGTCCTGGGGATCTGACCCAGGGCCTTGAGTATGCTGGGCAAATGCTCTCACACTGACCCATACCCCCAGCGCCTGTTGTATATGGAAGAATAAAAGTTGTAGGACCTTGTCGTGTGTCTGATACTTCATTAATTCCTCAGATGTCTGTTGAGCTTCTGTCGTGTGCTTAGCTCCCATGCGGCACATCCCTGATGGAAGCTAAGTAGTCCAGTCTCCTTAACTCGAGTCGTGGACTTTGAACTTTCAGCTTCATTTACTGAATCCCTTTTAGTGGCCAGCTTCTGTTACTCTGTTGGGAACATTGCCTTTTCCATTGGTTTAACACAGAATTTCTTAACGTCAGCATTGCTGACTGGCCTGGGAATTCTTCTTGTGGAGAACCGTCCTGCGTGTTGTAGGATGCTTAGGCAACACTAGCCCCTTCCGTCAGTTACCACGATTGAAGATGTGTGCCAATGTTGATAGATTGACAGGTGCCCCTACCCATTGCAACTACTTATTACCACCCGCGCACATCCTCTCTGGATGAAAATGACGGCGTCATACATGCTGATTAAGAACTCCGTCACTGAGCCATACCTCAAATCCCTCACTCATGTAATTTCTTTTTTTTTATTGTTACTAAAGATTGAACCCCAGAGCCTTGTGCATGATAGACAAATGCTTTCCCTCTGAGCTGTATCCTCAGCTTCATTTTTTATTTAGAGTGTCCTTAGGTCAGAGGCTAGCTCGTGGGGGTCAGTTCTCTTTTGACCACGTGGGTCCTGAGGACTTAACTCAGTCACCAGACTTTGCAGTAAATACCTTCACTTACTGACCCATCTCTCCAGAACTTACCCCTTTTTGCTGTTGCTTTTCTTCCCAGTCCTGTCCCACAAGAGAACATCCAGTGGAGAGCATACACAACCGAACCAGACCAGCTTCAGCCTTCCCAAGAAAGAAGGGCTGTCCTTCCTCGGGGGCCTCCGGTCCAAGAATGACTCCCTTTCGAGATCTAACCTCTGTATCAACGGGAATCATGTTTACATGGAGCAGCCGGAGGTCAAGGGTGAGATCCGGGACAGCAGCCCTTCGAATTCCCCGTCCCCGCAGGGTTTCAGGAAGAAGCATTTGTTCTTGTCCACTGAAAACCTGGCTGCCCGGTCTCCCAAGGAACCGGGGGAAGGAGATGGCCTGACCTCTGACAGGCGACTGTCCGACTCTTCCACCAAGGAGTCTGTGAAGTCCATGTCTTTGCCATCCTACCGACCTCTGACCAGTGGAGAGAGTAGAGAGAGCGTGTCTCCAGCAAACGTGGAGGCTACCAAGGAGACAAAAGACAGCAAGAAGCAGGAGACCAAGAAGTCCTCTTTGCTTTCTCTGGTGACGGGCAAGAAAGATGTGGCCAAAGGCAGCGAAGGCGAACCTCTCCCCACTGTCTCAGAGAAAGAGAAGGAAGGGAAAGCCACGCTCGTGGAAGCCCAGCTGGGAGAGGAAGAGCTCGGGAGAAGGTCTGAGAGAGATGCTGTTCCTGTTGCCTCCCAGCGGGGCAACTCCCTGAACCCCTTTGAAGATGTGCCGATCTCAAACCCAGAAGCCGGCCCGGAGCCTAAGTCTGAACCAAAGCCACCAGTTCCCGCTGCAAGGACTCCCCAGACCAAAGCTGTGAAGCCTAGGTAAGTCTTAGTTTTTGACCTCTGGGACCTTTCTCTGACACTACTTTAGCGGTCTCCACTGGAGCAGACCTGGTCCGACTCAGGATGTGTATGCGAAGGTAGGCTAGTCTTAAGTCCTTTGCACCGGTCACCTCTGCTGGCCTGGCCTGCCCAGCACAAAGGACAGGGGTGTTTCCCAGCCTAAAGCCACAGCTCAGCCGTCCGTAGGTGGGAAGTTGTTTTTCTCAGTGAGCTAACCAGACTCCGGTGAAAGGAGACAGTTTGTAGCCCGTTCTGAGCATGTGAGCTGAGCGTTCATGGTTGTGGTGGGTACATGGGCAGAACCTGCGTTAAAGTGTTCCGTGCATGCTGCCCAGTGGAGGTGGCTGCCTCTCCCCCGGTACTTGGCATCGGCTTGCAGGTGTGAGAGACCCTTGGTCCACCCTTCAGTGTACCCGTGACCTTCTGTGACCTTCTTTCTCTGTCTCCTCTGAACCTGATCATAAGAGCCTGCCTAAACTGAAGGAGCTGCTTTTCTGAGTGACTTTCACGGTGACATTTCTCTGGCATGGGGGCGGGGAGACAAACTTTTTGGAGATTGTGCACACTCCTCTCTTCAAAATCCATACCTGTTGCCTTGTGTTAAAAGCCTTTTGAGATGCTTTTGCCTGGTCATACTGTATCACTGAGGGAACTGTAGGCTGTTGGTTGCTCCAGCTGGATCTGTCCATGTGCATTGCTACAGACCCTTGTGTGACAGGTGTGCTTGATGCTCAGCAGTGTCCCTGTCTGTGGGGAGAGTATGTCTCAGTTGTGGAATATTTACTTAGCACGTATGAAGCCCTGGCTTTGATTCCTCAGCACTGAGGAAAAACAAGGTGACCCATCTGTATGTCAAGATTTGCGGTTCCCTTGACTTTGTAGATACTGCCCCAAGTGTAAAAACATCTGTCCTTCTTTAATGACTATTTTTGTATGTTTCTTGAAGTGCATCTGCAACTGACGTGCAGATTTTATTGTGTCCTTTTTGCAGACTGAACGTCCCTCCAGCGGCTCAGCCCCAGGCCAGGCTTCCCTCCCCTGACTCTGCTCTCTTTCCTGCTCTTCCTTCTAGCTCTCCTCAGGCACCTGTCTTTTCAGAGACACAGTCCTCTGAAAGTCCTTCTGCCTCCTCTTCTTTCTCATCTCCCCTGGCAGCTCCCATCTCCACATCTACTCCAATTGAACACTGGCCCCCCACAGGCAAGGGGGAGGTCCATTCTGAAGAACCTTCTTTGCTCCTCAAAGCAGTTTCTCAGAAGGAGAGTCTAACACCAGCTCCGAATAGTGGTTCTTCTGCCTCAGGATCGCCTTGCAAACTAATTACCATCCCAGTGCAGGAAGGGACGGAAGAGTCTTCAGAGGGCAAGACCAAGGAGACAGGCACCAGGACAGAAGGCCAAGGCCGCAGTGATGAGTCAGGAAATAACCCCATGGGGCAGCACAAAGACCTCCTGAAGGCTCCTTTCCCAGAGCAGCACTGGGTCCCCTCCCCTGACGAGGCCCAGGAAGTGTCCTCTGTGCTTACACTCAGCAGTGGCAGCATTGCGGACCCCGCTGAGAAGTCTCCCACAGCGAGAAACACAGACTCTGAGCATCAGTCTAGGTCTTTTGTGGAGAACGATCAGAACAGTGGAATGACTTCTGCAGTCACAGAAGCGACGCCCCCTCTTCAGGAGGAAGAGGCGGCCTCCCCATTTGGCAGCATAGCACAGAAACTCAAAGAAACACTGAGTGCCAGTGGAGGTCAGAAGAAAGTCAAGAAGCGTGTGTCCTTTTCTGAACAGCTCTTTGTGGAAGGAGAAACTGAAAAACCCACCGAGCTTGAGGAAGAGGACGAAAGTCGTCCTCAGCAGCTGACACGTGAAGGGGCCGTTGCCGGAGCCGTGCCCGGTGAAGAGTCTCCGGAGTGTCCCCACACAGCAGGCACAGGGGAGGAACCTGTGACCACGGCAGCTTCTGAAAGCCAGAGTTTCTCAAAAGATCCCACAAGTGAAGCCAGCCCAGCAAGGGGTACCCAACTCTTGAGGGTCGAGGAGAACGATGGCTTCGTGACTCAGTATCAGAGCAAAGCCAGCGATCACGAAGGGCTGCTGTCCGACCCCCTAAGCGACCTTCCATCTGCCTCTGACGTGAAATCTCCTATCGTGGCTGACCTGAACCTGTCTCTTCCTTCCATTCCCGAAGTGGCATCAGACGATGAGAGAGTAGATGAGGCCGGGGATGGAGGAGGGGGAGCAAAGCTGGTTGGTCTAGAAGTGGGAGTTTCGCCCACGAACATGTCACCTTCCTGTCTGGAGAAGGCACGTGGGTCCGTGCTCACGGAGAATCGCCATGACTTCAGGCCCGGAGCTCCCACGGCGGCTCCTTCCGAACAGACAGCAGCACTGGGAACTCCTGAGCCACCTCTGAGCAAGAGCTCCAGTGTGAATAACCAGTTACCAGGCCCTGGGACTGTCGAGGAAGAGGAACTGAAGCAAAGTGGGAGGCCAGATCCGCCTCTCGGCATATCCCAGGACCCTCCCGTGCCCAGCCCCTCGCCCTCTGAGACCTTTCCTGCTGCACGCTCTTTGCCTAGCTCTCCATATTCTGACAGTCACCACAGCAGTGTAGCGGAATCTCCAAAAAAAGCAGCAACAGAGGGCCCCGCTGGTAAAGTTGAAACTGTTGGCAAGAAGAAGCCACTTCTACAAGCCTGGGTCACACCCTCAGAGATCCACCCAGTCTCAGCTCCGCCAAGTGCTGGAGCTGGGGCAGCCAAGCACAGGTGAGAGATGATGGGGGAGATTGTCTTTGTGCGCGGGGAAGATGCCCTCTCTTTGCTTTTACCTGCAGAGACCATGTCTTCAAGCCGAAGGGACGTCCTGATGTCAGAGTTCGCCTGTTTTGCTGGCAAGGCTTGTCACACAAGGGCCATGTACTTTGTGCTTGCAATCACTCAAGATCCAGCAGCGTGTGTAGCAAGAACTTAATAGTCTTCAAAGATAGCTTGCTTAGGAATGCTTCTCCAGTGTGACGGAGCTCTGTAGCTGTGGAAGTGTGGGGCTCTGGTGTCTCCAGGGTCTCAGAAGCCAGCAGTAGATGGAGTGGTAGACCAAAGCAAGGCTGAAAACTTCCTCTGAGAACTGCTCAAAAAGCAGCTCCCACGTGATATGCACTCTCCCTTACTGTAGAAACCAGAAGGTTCTGCAGAGAGAACCGCTCAGTGGAGTCCTAGTCTGTAGCTACCCACAAGGATGAGAAACTTTCTTTCTTTGTTTCTTCTTTATTGTTAACATTATTTTATTTATTTATTTTAATTAATGAAAAAAATTGTTTTTGCAGTGCTGGGGATGGAACCTGTGGCCTCGTGCATGCTGGACAAGTACTACGTCCCAGCCTTGAGAGACCGTGTAAATGTTCTTGTGTCCATAAGCAGACTGAGGGACTTAGCATCTGTTGGGGACCGCGCCACCCCCCTCCCCAAGACAAGGATGAGCTTTGCTGGTTGTGTGTGGCTCTCTGATCCGTTTTACTTTGAATTCCACAGGAGCTGATGCATAAGCTGGATGTTGGGCCAGAGATGATTTTCTGCCCCCTTTCTCATGTTGCCGGCAGCCATCTTTGAGATGGGTAGTTCTCAGCTTTGCGGTTACGGAAAGTTTAAGGATCCTTTTCTTGTCTTTCTAGGCTTCATCCCGTGAAGCCGATGAACACAACACCCACCAAGATTGGAAACCCTAGCTTGGGGACTGCTGCCATCATCAGTGAGAACCTGATCAACGAAGCCATTATAAAGGTGTGTGTTCTGAGGAGTTGGCAGTTTGTTAAGATCTGCAGAGCTTGCACGTAGAGCATCACCATTACAGCTGACCTCAGTTGTTGCAGCTGCACAGGGGGCTGATGGGAGGAGAACTCGAGCTCGTTTAGTCTGGAACAACATAGGAGCAACATAGGAAGATGCTGTCTCAGAACAAACAGCAGCAAAAGTTAAAGACCTTGGGTGGTTCTGGGAATTACTTACGCAGACCTCTGATGAGTCTGGAGTCCGGATAACCTCTAAGGGCCCCCGGACCGTCCATTAAATGGATAAGTACATTTCCTTGTGATTATTTATTTCTCACTGACCTCTTTCTTGTCTCTAGCAACGTGATTGTCACTGGCACTGTCTGTTTACGAGTGTGGTGGTACTTTTTTATTTATTTGTTTTCTTTTGTTTTTCTTTAAGACAAGGTTTCTGTAGCCCAGGCTGGTTTAGAACTTCACTGTGTAGCCTAGGCTGCCCTAAACTCATGGCAATCCTCCTGACTCAGCCTCCTGAGTGCTGGGGTTACAGGCAGTGTTTATCTGGCAGTTCTCTTTAAAGAAAGAATTCCTTTTCCCTCTCTGTCTCTGTCTCTCTGTCTCTCTCTCTCTCTGTCTCTCTCTCTCTCTCTCTCTCTTTTTCTTTCTTTCTCTTTTTGTTTTTTGTTTCTTTGAGACAGGGTTTCTCTGTGTAGGCCTGGCTGTCCTGGATCTCGCTCTGTAGACCAGGCTGTTCTCAAACTCAGATATCCACCTGCCTCCTGAATTCTGGGATTAAAGGCATGCCCCCCCCACCACCACCCAGCTTCTTTTTTATCTTTAGGCAAGGATATAAAATTCTTGATACCGATGTACTGGGTTTTATCGCTGTATTTCAAAATAGTTGCCAACATTTAGAAAGTTGCAAACACAGCACAAAGAGCTCCTGTCGACCCTCATCCAGATTCGCCCGTTGTTCCGGATGACCCAGTTCACTTTGTCTCCTCCTGTTCCTTCCTGTCCCGCCTGCTCTCTCTCTCCATACACCTCTGCGTGTGTAGTTTGGGTGTGTTAAATCTGAACCATGGAAAAGTAGATTGTATGCATCATGTCCTTTTTCATGTCTAATGTTCTTGGGTGTGAATTATATGTGCATCTCCAGGTATTTGTGTGGGTGTGCACATGTGTGTGGAGGCCAGACGTTGAAGTCCGTGTCTTGCTCTATAGCTCTTGACCGTTTTTCCTTTTAAATCATTTTTTTCATATAATATATTCTGATCATGGTTTCCCCTCCCTCACCTCCTCCCAGATCCTTTGCACCCATTCAGCTCCGTCTCTTCTCGCTCTCTCTCTCTCTCTCTCTCTCTCTCTCTCTCTCTCTCTCTCTCTCTCTCTCTTCCCTTTTACAAAACACACAGGCAAGTAAAAACAAAGCTTAAGCCAGAATAAAAAGAAAAGGCACATACACAGAGACACACAGATAAATGAAATAGAAACCCATAAAAGCACAAAATCGGAAACAATGATATACAAGCAAAAGGTTAATAAGGTTAAAAAAAATCCCCAAACAAAGCAATATGAGACAAAAAAAATCTACAAAAATACCATTGAGTTTGTTTTATATTGGCCGTCTACGCTGGGCATGGGGCCTGCCCTAAACCCCCCCAAAAAAATCTACAAAAATACCATTGAGTTTGTTTTATATTGGCCGTCTACGCTGGGCATGGGGCCTGCCCTAAAGTGTGGTTTGTATGCCCAGTGAGACTCCCCTGTAGAACCTTTTGCAAGCGGTTGTCATTTGGAGACAGCTATTTGGTTAGGGACGGGGATTCGTATCCACTTTGCCCTCTCGGCACTGGGACCCCCGTCTGGCTTAAGCTGGCCATGCTTCCACAGTCTCCGTGAGTTCGTTACGTGTATCCGTCCTGTTGTGTCTAGAACAGGACTTCTTTCCTTTTTGTCTTCCATTCCCTCTTCCTGCCTCCTCTTCCACAGAGTTCCCTGAGGCCTGAAGGGAGAGATTTGATAGAGACATTCGAGTTTGGACTAACTGTTCTAAGACCTCTCAGTCTCGGCATATTGTCCAGTTATGGGTCTCTTTATTAGCTCCCATCTCCTGCAGGAGGAAGCTTCTCTGATGACTGTGAGTAACACAGTGATCTATGGGTATAGCAGAGTGTGGTTAGGAGTCTTTTTATTGCTAGGTTCCTTTAGTAGTATCTGGTTTTCTCCCAGGTCCATGCCTGTCTAGTCTAAGGTTCTTGCCACTGGAGCATTGTTGGGTATGGGTTCCATCTCCTGGAGGGATTTTTTTAATCCAGTCAGATAGTGGTTGGTTACTCCCACAACTTTTGTGCCTTTTTTTTTTGGAAGACAGGTCTCTCTACATAGCCCTGGCTGTCCTGGAACTCACTAAGTAGACCAAGCTAGCCTCGAACTCAGAGATCTCCCTGCCTCTGCCTCCTGAGTGCTGGGATTAAAGGCGTGCGCCACCACGCCTGACTTTTTGTGCCAGTACTGCACGAGGATATGGTGCAGGCAGACCACCACTGTCGATTGAAGGGTCGGCATTTTCCTGTCTCCTCTGGTAGCGTGCAGAGGACCTTCCAGTGCCATGAGCACTGGTCAGGAGGGGCGAAGGCTCTAGCTAGGCCCCCGTGTGGCTCTCTGTGCTCGGTGAGTTATGTGGGTGTTGTCTCCGGCAACGGTGCTTTACCGTCAGTTTGTGGGGAGTAACCAGCAGCCTTAGAACAGCCTGCGGGGTTTGGGGGATCCATGCGGCCCTTTGGCCAGTAGCTTAATTGTGTATAACTCATTCCCGGTGCTAGAGGTTTCACTCGGTGCCGAGAGAGGTCTAGTTGAGGCTTTGCCTCCCTGTTATTTGGTGACTCCATTTGTATTTCCTTCACTATTTTGAGACACTTATACTGTAGTAGGTTTCCACATGACCCCTCGAGTGGCCTTCAGTGGCAGTTGTCTCTCCCTTATCTTCCTCTTCCCTTCCCCTGTCCACTTAATCTTCCTGTTCCAGTCTCCCCTACCCCCATCACTCCGTAACTATACATTCTATTTCCCCTTCCTTGGGAGATCCTCCCCTCCCCCCAGCCTTACTATACCTAACCTCTGTATACCTTATATGGATTGTAGCTATCGAAGCTTGAGAAGGTAACATCCACATATATCCACAAAAATCAGAGTTTGTCTTTCTGAGTCTGGGTTACCTCACTCAGGATGATTTTTTTTTTCCTCGCTCCGTTTGCCTGTGAATTTCATGAATTTAGTTTTTTAAACAGCTGAATAATATTCCGTTGTGTAAATGTGCCATATTTTCTTTACCTTTTCATCAGCTGATGAGCATCTAGGCTGTTTCCACTTTCTGGCTACTATGAGTAAATAGAACAGTATTGAATGAGCAAGTGTCTCTGTAGTAGGGTGTCGAGTCCTTTGTGTATATGCCCAAGAGTGGTATAGCTAGCTCTTGAGATCTATTTCCAGCTTCCTGAGGAACCGACACACTGATTTCCATAGTGACTGTACAAGTTTACACTCCCACCAGCAACGGAGGAATATCCCCCATGTCCACATCCTCAACCGCATGAGCTATCATTTGTTTTATTGATCCGACTGGTCTAAGATGAAGTCTCAAAGTAGTTTTATTTGCATTTCCCTGATGACTAATGATGTTGAATCTTTCTTTAAGTGATTCTCAGCCATGTGTATTTCATCTTTTGTGAGCTCTGTTTAGTTCCGAACCCATTTTTTAATTTGGTCATTTTCTTGATGTCCATTTTTTTTTTTAGTTCTTTAGTATTTTAGATATTAACCCTCTATTGGATATGTAACTGTTAAAGATCTTTTCCCATTCTGTACCCTCTCACTTTGTCTGAATTATGATTTCCTTTGCCATATAGAAGCTTTTCAGTTTCATGAAGTCCCATTTATTAGTTGTTGATCTTAATGCCTGTGCTATCAGTGTTCTGTTCAGAAAGTCTTTTCCTGTACCAATGAGTTCAAGACTATCCCCCACTTTCTCTTTTGTCAGATTCAGGGTGTCTGGCCTTATGTTGAGGTCCCTGATTCATTTGTAGGTGAGTTTTGTGCAAGGTGATGAGTATGAACCTATTTATAGTTTTCTACATGCAGACGTCCAGTTCGACCAGCACCATTTTTTAAAGATGCTGGGTTTTTTGTTTTTTGTTTTTTGTTTTTTGTTTTTTTTCTAGTGTGTGTTTCTGGTTTCTTGGTCAAAAATCAGTTTGGGTGTGTGGATTTTAGGTCTGGGTCTTGAATTTGACTCCATTGATGAACGTTTCTGTTTTTATGCTAATACCATGCTATTTTTATTATTGTAGTGCTATGGTACAATTTGAGATCAGGATGGTGATACCTCCAGCAGTTCTTTTATTATTTGGGATTGTTTTAGCGATCCTGGAATTTTTTTTTTTTTTTTTTTTTTTTTTTGGTTTTTCGAGACAGGGTTTCTCTGTGTAGCTTTGCGCCTTTCCTGGATCTTGCTCTGTAGACCAGGCTGGCCTCGAACTCACAAAGATCCACCTGCCTCTGCCTCCCAAGTGCTGGGATTAAAGGCATGCGCCACCACCGCCCGGCTACGATTTTTTTGTGTTATTATATGAAGCTGAAATTGTCCTTTCTGTTTTTGTGAAGAATTGTTTTGGGATTTTGATGGGAATTAAACTGAATCTATAGATTTTCTTTGGTAGGATGTCCATTTTCACCGATAATCCTATCAATCCATGAGGATGGGAGGTCTTTCTGTCTTCTGATGCCTTCTTTTATCTCTTTCTTCAGTATCTTAAAGTTTTTTATTAGTAAGTCTTTTACTTGCTTGATTAGAGTTATCCCAAGATATTTCTTTGGAGACTATTTTGAAAGTATTGTTTCCCTGATTCTTTCTTAGTCTGTTATCTGTATATAACAAGGCTTCTTTTTTTTTTTTTTTTAAGCCTTGTATTTTTGAGATATGGTCTTTTACTAAACCTGGAGCCCACTGATCCA